TTTAATGGCCTAATTATTTTGCCGGCCGCCCTGCGACTCTGAAGCCTGCATCTTCACGGGGGCAGGGCATCACTTTTAATTGGCTGCATCGATCCATTTCGAGCGGAGCCTGGCGGGTTTGGTGCCGGTTCCGATTACGGGATTCGGCCTGGAGAGGAGGTGGGATGCCGGGGAGGGAGTCAGCCTCCAGCGCAAAACATTACAGGCAGAAGCAGTGAACCTCCAAACCGGCACAAGTGAACCAAGAATGGGCGGTGAACAGCCGAAGGCGTGGGTCCAGCTGTGTGTGTGTGTGTGTGTGTGTGTGTGTGTGTGTGTGTCTTTGCATTTACCACATTGTGGTAAAATGTTACTTTTTTTTAGTTTACGGGGACATTTTTCATATAAACCTCAATCTTATAAAAGTCTGAATGCAATCAAAAAACTAAAAATGCCTAAAGTCTTGTGTTTCGTTGAGGTACTTATGGTTAAGGTTAGGGATGGGTTAAGGTTATTAAGGTTGTCATAGTTGGGATTTGGGCTTTCCTCATAGAAATGAATGGAGAGTCCCCACCAAGATAAGAATACACGTGTGTGTGTGTGACAGTCCTGTTCTTTACAGTGGTAAAAATCCAAGCTCATAGTTCGGGAAAGCATGTACAAATGTCAGAGGAAAAAAAACTAAGGGGGGAAAAGGCCATTGAAAGAAGAGCACAGCCCTTCATGTGTTACTCTAAGCGCCGGGCGGAGCAGGGGGGGGGGGTCAGAGCCCTCAGCCATCGCGGTGCAGGGCAGCTGTGCGTTTAACACGCGTCAGAGCAAATGAACACGCGGCCTCCATGCAGAAGCGAGAAGAACACGGAGCTACACGTGAAGGAGCCAGCAGACACTGCCAACGCTCCGATGTTAAATGGGGAGTTATTACATAATGGCACATCGTCATGGAAACCCCCCATCTTACTACAGTATGAGAGGCGCCGCTTTGAAGAGGCAGCGTTAACCGAAGCCGCCCCTGAACTGCCTCTCCCAAGCTGCCTCCAGGGTGATTACCTGTTATAATAGCTGGATCCATCCAACTGGCCGTCCCGTCCCAGCTCAGACTGTGCGAGACACCCCCCGAGCCGACTGGCGCCCCCGTGTGGTTGACGCTGGAGGATGAGGATGATGAAGAAGAGGACGACGAGTTCGGAAGTCCCCCAAAGTTGATGTTGATGTTAGGTAGCAGTGCCCTGAGGCCGTCCTGCCATTCTTTCACATTTATACTTTCTACTGAGCTGCTTCCCTCTGCAAAAATAAAGAGAAGGGGCGCCCCCTACTGTCAGAGGACAGAACTACTTTTGACACCAATCAGAAGTAATCTACTCAGATTATCCTGACGCAATTAAGGCAGATAATGCTTGTCCCGGATATCATAATGCATATCATAGCTTATAAAACGTATTCTTTATTAAAAAGCTAAAAAACTAAAACTAAGGTTGAAAAAATAAGCATTTTATGACATCGGCAAGTCAGAAGCAATTCTGGGCTGTCTAATTAGAGTTAACGAGATGGCACTGTCCAGCACATCCCTAACCAGAACGACCGCCTAACACCCAGCCCTCACGCTTCGGACTGAGGGAAGCACAATTCATTCACTTGCAAATCCAGTGTAACAAAGAAGCCTTAACGGTGTAACTGAAAACGGTATTATGGCGGAGGTGGTTTCAATTAACGTTTTTTTTTTT